CGGGCGGCTCCTCCCGCCGCCGTCCAGGTACCGTCCGGGCACCGGGGGACACCCGGACCCCGCGCGCGCGGCGGGAGCCGCCGCGAGGAACCCCGCATCCCCCCCGGGGACACGCGACGCCACGAGGGGCTCAGCCGGGGGGTCCCCGCGTCCCTCGCTCCCGCCCCGCCCGCTTCCCGCGCCCCCGCTCCCGCTTCCCGCCCGCATTCCCGGTTCCCTCGGCGGGTGCCGGCTCCCCGCGCCGCTCACCCGCACGCATGGCCCGACGGCGGGAGCGCGGCGGCGGCGCGGCTCGCTCGGCGCCCGAGGAGGAAGTGAGCGGGCCCGGAGGAAGCGCGGGGCCGCCGCACGAGGAAGTTCAGCCCCGCCGGCCCGGCCCGGCCCGGCCCGGCCCGCTGCGGGTCCCGGCGGGGGCTGCGGGACCCGCCATCTCCATCGCGGGAATGCGGGAGCTGTGGGTCCCGTCAAGGGGGGGCAGTACTGGGGGTCCCATTAGGGGACATGAGTCCCGGGGGTACCACCTAAACCCTCCTTTCCCTCTCCCCCTGTCCGCCCCTCTCCCTGGATGTGAGGGATGGAGCTGCCGGCTGCAACTCGGAGCATGGGTGGTGGAGGAGGGAGCAGCCGGGAATTCCAGGGGCCATCAGGGTCACGCTGGGCTGCAGCACCCAGGGCTGGGGGCCTGTGCAGGATCTTCCCGCCACCCAAAGGTGACAGGGCTGGGAAGGAGAGCGCTGGGATGGGGGTCCCGGAGTCTCCAAAAATGAGCTTGCATGCCCCGAATGAGCCTGCATGCTCCAAACGAGGTTGCATGCTCCAAATGAGCTTGCAGTCCTGAACGAGCATGCGTGCTGCAAATGAGCTTGTGTGCCCCAAATGAGCTCATGTACCCCAAATGAACTCGCATGCCCCAACTGGGCTTGCAGGCCCCCAAAACTTTGCACGCTCTGAATGAGCTTGCACTGTCCAAATGAGCGTGCATGCTCTGAATGAGCTTGTACAGCCTGAAACGAGCTTGCACACTCCAAACAAACTTGCACACTCCAAACGGGCTTGTGTACATGTCCCCCAATGTCYGTGCAAAAACGAGATTGCACGCTCCAAACAAGCTTGAATACCCGCAATGAGCTTGTACACCCTACATGACCCCAACTTAGGGCTGCAAGGATGTAAAAGAGGCCCAGTCAAAAGCGGAGGGCAATTCGTTTCCGCCTGCGAAAAGCCTCGGGCCGCCGGGGGCAGAGGCGGGCCGCGCGAGGCAGCGTCGAACCCCGAGGCGGTGTCGAAGCCTCACGAAGGTCTCCCATCCAGGCCTCATCAAGGGCGGGCCCTGCTTAGCTTCCGCAACCCGCCGCGGCGCCTCTCCGCCCCCGCCCGCCAGGGGCCGCTGCGACTCGGCGGCGGGGCGTGAGGGGGCGTGTCCTGGCGCGGAGGAGGGGGGCGCGGCCGGAGTCGCCCCGCCCTGATTGGCGGCGCGGCGCGGAGGCCCCGCCCCGCGGCACGCCGGGCCGGACGCCGCGGCCGTTGGCTCCGCCCCCTGTCAGGGAGCGTGCGGCGACCGAGCCGGGTGCGGAGCGGGGCGGGGGCGGCGGGACCGGGGCGCCCGCCGCGGGGCGGGGCGGGGGGGGGGAACGGCGCGGGGGCCGCTGCTTCCGGGGGGCAGCCCGGGAGAGACCGGCGGTAAAGGAGGGGGGAGACCGGGAGACGCCACTAGCGGGGGAGGAAGCACTGAGCGGAGCGGGGGTGTCCCGGGGGGAGCCGCTGGGGACAACGGGGGTGTCCCGGTAGTAACGGCGGGGAAAGGGGAACCGGCGCAGAGCCCGCTGCGAGGCGGGGGGGGCAGGGCTGGCCCGGGAGAGACCATCGCTGAGCAGAGCGGGGGGGGGAGCGCAGGGTTCTCCCGGGCGCGACCATTGCGGGGGAGCGGGGGGAGCCGCGGGGCTGTCCCGGCAGCGACCACTGCTGAGGAGCGGGGGGGGGGGCGGCTCTGCGGGAGCGACCACTGCACCGGGCGGGGGGATCCGCACGATTTGGGGCCAAACCGCGGGGTTTTGGCCCTCCCCGAGGCGCCGGCGCCGCGCAGCGCCCAGCCAGGCGCTTTAAACCGGTCAGGTGCCTCAGCGCGGCCCGTCACATGCCCTAAATCCCCTTCGCGGGCCTTTGCGTCCGCAGGCTGCGGAGCCGTCCGGCCCGCCATCCCGGTGTGATCCCGGCCGTGATCCCGCCCGCCATCCCCATGCGCTGAGGCCGCCATGGAGCCGCGGTGGCGGGCGGCCGCGCTGCCGCTCTGCGCCCTGCTGCTGCTGCTGCTGCCCGCGCCCCGCGCCGAGCGCCCGCCCGACGCCGCCGCCATCGCCGGTAAGGACGGGGACCCCCCCTGGGAAAACCCTCTTTTTGCTGGAAAACGCTCCCCGTTTTGCCGGAAAACGCTCCCCCTTTTTCCATGGCGAAGGGAGGCCGCCGGCCTGGGCACCGTCTGGTCGCGCGGTGCCCGTCGCCTTCCCGGTTTCCTTGGCGCGGCTGCCAAATGTTCCTGGGAATATCGGCATCCAGCGCCTTGGGAAAGCCCTGGGAAAGCGCTGGGAAAGGCGGGAGCGGGCACAGGGCCGTGGGTGTCACACACGGATTGTCATTGTCACGGGTCTGGGGACCATGGGGTTCATGGCAAAATCCCACTACCCCGGGATCCCTTTGGAAGCGGGCACCGGCTCTTGGCTCATGAGGTTGTTTTGCTGCTGGTCTTGGATTGTGGCTCATTTACTTACAAAAATGCCAATATTTGCTTTATATATTTTAAAGGGATCGCTAGCAGAGCGCGGTGCTGAGCTGGGGTGAGGGCTAAACTTGCGTAACGGAGCGTGTCCCCGGCCCGATCTTGGATCGGGACTTGGTTTATTTAGGAAAATGCCACTGTTTGGCTTATATATTTTAAAGGGATCCCTTGCCAGGTGAAGTGCTGAGCCAGGGTGAGGGCTAAACTTGCGTAACGGAGCGTGTCCCCGGCCCGATCTTGGATCGGGACTTGGTTTATTTACAAAAATGCCAATATTTGGTTTCTATATTTTAAAGGGATCCCTAGCAGAGTGCAGTGCTGAGCTGGGATGGGGGCAAAAGTGCCAGCACCGGCAAAACGGAGCGTGTCCCCGGCCTGTGCATTCGGCGTCTCCCTTAGCCACGCTGGGAGCTGAGCTCCCGAGCGGAGACGGGGAAAACGAGGCAGCTCCTCTGTTTTCCCCCTTGCATCCTTCCCCAGCATTGCCAAAAAAGCCCAAAATAAGCAAAAAGCAAACTACCCCCCCGCCAAAAAAACAAATAAATAGATCAAAAATGAAAAAAATCCAGCCCCAAATGGGACCGTCCGTTCTGGGATGTGTTAGGTCAAGCTTTGCCTCGGCCGTGGGACGCAGCCCCGTGCCGTGTCCTTGCTGCGGTGCCCGCGGTTAATAAAAGCTGCCGCTCTTCCCGGTGGCCGGGCAGAGCTCCCCGGCTCCACTGGGCGCAGCGGGATTCCCACCTGCTCCCAGGAGGGGGGAGACGATGGGAAAAGGCAAAACTGCACGCGGGAAGCGCTGCCAAAAGGTGAAAACAGCCCCTTGCAAAACGCCGCGGTGCATCCGGGCGGATGGGGTGTCGACGTCGCTGCCCGGAGCAGCTGCCAGGCGGGTTTGATTCCCGCTTTGATTCCAGAACGGCTTCGTAAGAACAGGGCAAGTCCGCGGGCGCTTCCTATCAGCGGCGCGATCAGGAACTCGCTGTTTGCGCCTTGGCCGGGGAGGCTGTTTCGCCTCGGCGATACGCTGATTTATTCCGTGTTATTTTTCTTGGTAATACCCGCCGCCAGCGAGGCGGCCCCGCCGCTGACTTCTGCAGCGAGCCGCTCGTTTTGTTCTCCAAAGAATCCCTAAAGTCTCCGGCCAGTTCGTGGGCAAGGCTGCCCCGCTGCAGAAACTGGATCTGCGCGGCCCGGCTGGCGGAGCAAGGTTGGTGCCTCCGGGGAATTTGGGGCCAGGTTATTTTTGGAGGCCCTGCAGCAATGTGGCAGCCCCGGTGATTCAGCTGCCGCCTCGCCGAAGCAGAGCCGGGCGAGAGCAGCGCAGGGAGGGGTGCAGGAAGCCCGAGCTCCGTGTACCCCCCCTCCAGGTAGGTTTTTCTGCACAAGGGGTGTTTCCACGCTCGGCTTTTCCCCTCCGCAGCGGCTTTGGAAAGCGCTGCGGTCGCGCAGGCTGCAGGGGAGCGACGGGTTAGAGGGCAGCGCTGATCGGCGCGGCGATAAGAGCCCCGGTGCCGCCCCGCCGCCGGCGGAGGCCAAACCTCCTGGGCGGCCTCGGCCCTGCTTGCGGCCCCGCGTCCGTATCCGGGGGCGGAAAGCGGGGATTGGGGTGTTGGGGACGGGGTTGTGGCAGGTTGTGGGGTGGCAGCTTGGGCGGGAAGGATGGGGAAAGCGAAAGCGACGCTTTGCTCTTCCGCCGGCTCTGCTCTTTTCTCAGGGCTCTGCTCTTTTCTCAGGGCTCTGCTCTTTTCTCAGGGCTTTGCTCCTCCTCGGCTCTTTGCTCCTCCTCGGCTCTTTGCTCCTCCTCGGCTCTTTGCTCTTCCTCGGCTCTTTGCTCTTTCTCAGGGTTTTGCTCTTCCTCGCCTCCTTGCTCTTCCTCGCCTCCTTGCTCTTCCTCGCCTCTTTGCTCTTCCTCGCCTCCTTGGCTCCGTTTCACCCCAGGCTGATCCCGGTGTCCCGAGTGCTCCAGTCCTCTCATCTGCAACGCTTCCTGCCTCACCCGGAGGCACTTGGTGCTCCCAAGGCCTCTCCAACTTTTCCTGCCGGCCTCAGCTTCACGCTCCCCCACAGCCAGGAGCGCGGGAGCCGCTGGATGCAGCAGCAAAGCAGCAAAACGGGCTGCACATTTGGAGCGTTCGAGGCCACAGCGACCACTAATAAACCCCGAGGCGCCCGAATCCCTTCCCAAAGGGGCCTTTGAACCCCAGCGTGTCCAGGACCGAAGCCCCGTTCTGCTCGGCGGGCCCGTCCGCCCCGCGTCACGCAGGATGTGCTCGCCGCCACCCGGCCGGTATTGTTTGCACCCACTTGCGGTTATTTTTAGCACCAATTTCTCTTGCCGCCGCTTCCAGCTGCGGGCGCTCATTCGAACCTCCCCCTCGCGGCTCCCCCCTCTTCGTTCCCCTTTCCAAAATGCCGGCGAGGAGGGAAGTGCGTGGATGTCGTGATAAATATTCCTGTGGGGAATATTTATCCCGAGCAAAAACCCGGCTTTGGCCAGTGCTGGGAGTGCTCTGTTCCCGCCTGGGTGCTTTTGCTGGCACTGTTTGGAGAGACTGGAGAGCCCCCTTGGCTTCCCCCTTGGATAGGAGCCTGCGTGGGGAACGTGCCCGCACGCGGATCCTGGGAATAGACCCTCTGGAAAGCATCCAGGCTCTGGGAAGAGACCACATTGCTGTGGCAGAGGGGACCAGGGGACACACGTCCCTAGGCCCCCACGTCCCGTTTGTTACTCATTGGAACCAGGACCTCCTTTCCTTTCCCTCCATGCGCCCGTCCCTGCTCTCCGCTCGCCGTTCCCGGCACCCCGGCATCCTCTGCACCCCATTTAGCACAGGGCATCCCTATCCCTGGGACCGCTGCGTGCTTACAACCCGCCAACAACAGAATATTTACAAAAATATTCAAGTGTTATCCAAAGGAAGCGCCAAGGCGGCCGCTCCGAGTTAAGGCACTTAGTGTTGGCACCCGCTGCCTTTTTATGCGTAGCTCCGGTTCAATGATTAACCAAACAAGGCTGCTGAAAGAGGCAGGATCAAACGAGGTTTCAATTAGGGCTTCGTTTGATCCCAAACAGTAGCAAAAAGAGCTTTTAACCCTTGGTTTGTTGTAGCTCTAGGCTTCTTGGAGCTGCTGATTCGGATCGTGCCGCGGGCGGGATTGTCTGCGGCGTCGGCCCCTGCTGCAGTCCCACGTACGGGTTTGGATGCCGAGTGTCCCCGGGACAGCGCTCCCGGCTTCCCCAACGGCGCCGTCCTCGTGTCACGGCCTCCGTGAGCCCGTCGGCATCCCGGATTGTGCCGAGCACGGCCTTGGAGCACGGGCTTGCTGGCTCCTGCGGCATGGGAGTCGCTTGCCACGGCCGCGCTGCCGCTCTCAGGCTTGGTCCGGATCCGGCAGCTTGGCCCGGATCTGGCGACTGGGCCTGGATCTGACGGCTCCACTCGGATCCAGTGGCTTGGATCTGGCGACTGGGCTCAGATCCAGTGGCTCGGCCCAGGTGCGGCAGGTGGGCTCAGATCCGGCAGCTGGACCCAGATCCAGCAACTGGGCCCAGATCTGGTGACTGGGCCCGGATCCGGTGACTGGACCCGGATCTGACGGGTGGGCCCAGATCTGGTGGCTTAACCTGAAGTGGGCAACTCGGCCTGGAGCTGGCGACTCGGATCCAGCAGCTTGGCCCGGATCCGGCAGCTCGGCCCAGATCCAGTGGTTTGGATTCAGCAGCTGGACTCAGGTCCGGCAGCTCGGCCCAGGTCCGGCTGGTGGGCTTGGATCCGGCAGCTGGGCCCGGATTCAGCAGCTTGGCCCGGATCCGGCAGCTCAGCCTGGAGCGGGCAGCTTGACCCGGATCTGGCAGCTGGGCTCAGATCTGGCAGCTTGGCCTGGATCCGGTGACTGGGCCCGGATCCGGCAGCTTGGCCCGGATCCGGCAGCTCGGCTCAGACCTGGTGCCTGGGCCCGGATCTAGCAGCTCGACCCGGATCCGGCGGCTGGGCTCGGATCCGGCAGCTTGTCCTAGATCCGGTGGCTCGGCCCGGATTCGGCAGCTTGGCTCGGATCCGGTGGCTCGGCCCGGATTCGGCAGCTTGGCTCGGATCCGGTGGCTCGGCCCGGATTCAGCAGCTTGGCTCAGACCCGGTGCCTGGGCCCAGATCCGGCAGCTTGGCTCAGATCCGGCCGCTCGTCCCGGATCCGGTGCCTGGACTCGGATCCGGCGGTTCGGCCTGGATCCATTGGCTCGACCCGGATCCGGTGGCTCCTGCGAGCGCTCCCCGGAGGGCTCCTCCACACCCTTTCCCAAAGGGTCCCTTTGCCGGCGCGGAGCGTTGCAGGGATCGCTGCAGCGCCGGGCTCTGCCTTGCCGGGCTCTGGCCTATGGGTAAAAAAAAGCCGTTTTTGAAACTTTTTGCAAGTTCCTCCTGGCCTCGACCCCTCGTCTGGGAGGCCTGGCTGCGGCGCGAGGGAATCCCGGAGCGCATCCGTGAGGAAGGAGCAGTGAGGAAGGAGCAGTCCCGTCGCCTGCAGTGCCGCTGCGGGGCCCCGAGCCGCTCTGGTGATGATGCTGATGATATTGATGATGATGATG